AAAAACAAATGTAGAAGTTTGACTTTGTTGCTACTTTCCTGTTGATTGGAACTAAGATATGTTGGATCAAACTATATCTGCCTTTTGATCTTCCTCATTGCTGTTATGTTACTTTTCCACATTTATTCAACATTACTTGAGCTTGAGGGCATAAAATGAATGAACCTTTTCTTTGAAACTATTATTGTTATTTTAATGAGAAACAATGACCTTCGATTCTTTAATAATTAATCTTTTGAAGGGAGCAAAAGTTGTTCTTGGGGCCAAAAGGCATAGCCTTGGAATGACCTTTTATGAGCCTACAGTTCTCAGTGATGTCAAGAATGATATGCTAATAGCAAGGTAAACACTTAGATAAAATTTTGCTTTATTTTAGACATATTTAAATGACATAACCAAATTATTGGTTGATTTGATTATTTGAATTAATGAACCGTGACACTCATTATTGTGGGTGACATGATCACAAGGGTGGTTAGCTTCTACTTATTACTTTCTTTATGACTTCTTTTGGGTCTGCAAAATTTTGCCTAGTTGTGCTCAACAACTTTTGCCTCCTGTTCTGTTGAGTAGATTATTACCTGTGCACTGAAAACATTGTCTTGGCTCAGAGAGGAAGTATTTGGGCCTGTCGCACCCCTTTTGCGTTTCAAAACTGAGGATGAGGCTATCCGAATTGCTAATGACACCAATGCAGGTTCTTTTTTGAGTATCCGTTCATATTTTGATACGTCCATTAGGACCTTAAGGAAAATGGTGATATTTCCATTTAAAATGCTGTTTTGCTACTCATCAGCAAATTCTCCTGCATGCATATACAGGGTTAGCTTCTTACATATTTACAAATAATGTTCAACGTTCATGGCGTGTCTCTGAAGCTCTTGAATATGGACTTGTCGGTGTCAATGAAGGCTTAATTTCAACAGAGGTGGGTCCCACACTGCATCCACCAGCAGTTTCATTTTTAAATAACATATTGGTGTATTCATGATTATCTGTATGAATGAAGGTGGCTCCCTTTGGAGGTGTCAAACAGTCTGGTCTTGGAAGGGAAGGTTCCAAGTATGGGATGGATGAATATTTGGAAGTAAGTGCACCAGAGATCCCTTTTACTATGCTTAACAAAAGAAACCCAAATGGCATGCATCAGTAGTTCAAATGTTGTAGAATGGCCATTATCACTTGTTTACTCTGAATGTTTTGTCAATTTAGAAAGGAAAAAAAAACAAAGAATCTAATACAATCTAGAAAATATGATGTTGGCATGGATATGCACGTTTACACAAATGCACTTGCATGTGTGCAGCTAGAAATCTATATACTTGTGCTGGTCTGTATACTCTTTTTCCTTCACTTAGTCATTTCTTTGATCCTGAATTAATCAAAAAGTCATTTCTTTGATCCTGAATTAATCAAAAACTTGTGTGCTATCCCTGCCATATTGTTTCAGAAGTCGAAAATTCTATCTTGTGGGCAAGTTACATAGGCATACTTCTTAGTTCTACGCGTAATATTAAGGCAATTCTAAATACTGTGTTGCAGGTTAAATACGTGTGCCTGGGGAATATGAGCAGTAACTGATGTGCTTGGTTTCTTGCTGGATCCTTGCCAATCTTAAAACGAAAGTTGGAAATATCTGATGTATCTTTTGCTTCAAAAATGAAAAATGTGTTGCATTGGAAAAAAATAAGTGTTTAGTTTTGAGGTAGTTCTGCGAGAACAGAAAAATAAGTCTCTTTTGTATTAAGTTTTGATGTAATTTTGCAGAACAGAAATAACATTTAGTTTTGATGTTTCTATTATAATTGTTCCTCTTTTTTTTCTTTTCTTTTTTGCTAATAATGTTTCTGTACTAATTGAAATCCATGGTAAGTTACAAAAGCGCAATGCCCAAGTAAGGGTGATTTGAGCAGACTTGTTAGAAAATTGGGGTGGGCTTTCAATTAATCAGAACCTTGAGGTTGGTTTTTTGTTGATGGAAAACAGAACCTTGAGGTTTACAATGGAGGCAAGGGGTTAGATTTCTTCTGGTCCAAGTCCAAACTCCATAGCTGAAAGGGGTGTTGCTATAGGGTTTAGGGTGTAGTGATCAAATGTCTGGGTGTATAAGCAACACTCTTTGAAGGAATATGCCCAATGTTTGGTACGGACTACAGATTGAGCTCACCCAGCTTGAGGCTGGACTGAAGTTCTACACCAAATCAATTGTATTGGGCTAGCTAATCCAAATTCCACAAGAATCAAACTTTTCAGTCGCCGTTTTTTGTGTCTATTTTTTCTTCACTTAGCAAAAGATAGTAAATGTCAAGAAAAGCATGCGAGTCTAGGTCAGCCTGTCTGTTTTCTGAAGTGATTTAGTTTGTGGAAATTAATTTAATATATCCTCTGAAAAAGATGTGAATATGACAATGGAATGTCATATATTCCCCAATGTTATATATGCTTTCAAGATCAAATATGTTTTCTTTTCTCATCCATCATCTGCACCATCTCTACTTAAAACAAAATTCATTAATTTTTTTTCTTTTGTCAACTAAATCATTAAGTCCTGTGTTTGAATCCCCCTCAATATCGCTTGTATAAAAAGAATCATTGAGTTCGTTCGAGTTGCTACATCGACATGGGGTGATGGTGATGATGCACCATGCATGCATGCATGCTGTCCAATCCTTCTTGGGAACTCGATAGAAAAGCGGGAAGCTTTGTAAAGTATTCAAATTGTACATAAAGTAGGGTCCCACAAATTCACCTTCAAGGAATATATTCATTTTAAAGAATAATTCTCTATAGATCACATAAGGATGCTTGAAATTGAAGCAAACATGCCCTTAACACTAAGCCAACCCACTTTTCCACTGGGTTTCGGCTTTGAAGTTCCCATTATTACCAACTAAAAGTTAAATCCCAACTTTGCTTGATTATAATTATAAAAGGTCCAGCCAATTTTGTGCCAATTGTCTAAAAGAAGCATCTCCAATTCTAAATGCAAAGCTTTGTTTCCTAACACATTTGGATACGAGTCCAGGAGAGGTGCCAAATTATAAAGCATTTTCGTTTACATGCAAAGGGTGGTGGGGGAGGGTCAAAATCTAGGAAAGAACCCCCAAAAACCAATCTATGCTGCAATGTTTGATTTCCTACCTGGCTTGCATGCATAGGTTTTGATTTGAACAATTTGGTAGGACCTGGTCAACATCTTTTACTCGGTAGGACCAAATCATACATATACAACAAGATGGGACGGTCGTAAATTGTTCTATATCTTAAAATAATGAGCTTTGTGTAACTCATGGTGTTCTAGATTTTTGGGAGAAGAATCTTCCTTTGATTGTCAAAGAAGAAAGCATTGATTCCCAACTGAGATTGGGGCAAATACTAAATCGTAGGAATTTTTTTTTACAAAAAAAGTAAATTGTATATATTACTTATGTAGAGTAATATATATGTACGATTATACAAGAGATTGCTTCTTTTTTCGTTTCTTAACAACTCTCGTCTATGAAATTTGAATTCTAAAACTCTAACGTTTATTTTTCCTTTTAGTAGAGTGTGAGTGGGGCCTTGAGGCAACTTATTGAGTTGACCTTACTTGAGTTGTTTTGTTTGTTGTGATTTGGATTGGAGAAGAAATGCATGGCACTGGCAGAGCAGTCTTCATCTTCAATTCCAGGAAAGTGAGATAAGGGATTGAGGCCCAGCAGCAAAGCTTTAGAAGGACTAAGGCTAAGGTCCCCTACCCTCCTGTCATCAAAAGCTCCACATTACAATACTCTTTTATGCATTGATGTTCACGTCCTCATATATTACCAACCACAGACCCCTAAAGTTTTTGGTTCCATATTTTGTTGTTTTTTAGTGCTTTCTCTTCCACGATAGAAAATCACATTCATATTGTTAATCTTTAATTTTCTTAAATCATATTATGAGATCTAATTAGAATTGAATGATATAGAAACAAAGTTCTTGCAATCATATGCCTCAAAAGCTTGATACAATGATCTCTACACCATTCAAGTAATGACAGATTCAGAATCTTCCAAAAAGACAGAGGCTAATTAAAATTGTAATCATATATTTAATTGAAAAAAACCTACTTCTAATTAAGCACTCATTGAATGAAATCTAGGAGCAAGAAAAAAGTGTAAAAAAAAACTAGAAAAATAATACAAACATATGACAATGGCAATGATCATTAGTCCCTTCATCATAAATTTTGCTGTCATTGAAACCTTTTTGTTGGTAATGACATAAAGGATACATTAATCTTTGTGTTCTAAACACCATGCTTGATAGATTACTGGTTCAAAGGATGTGTGGCCAGGATTCTATATATATTTATATATGTGTGTGTGTGTGTGCGCTTAGATATATAATTATTGACTGGGAGGGCAACATGCAGGGTTTATATGTATATACATGGTTCAGAAAAAAGAAGGGTAAAGGTACAACATACTGCCCATCATCATTGCCATGAGGGGTCTCACTCATATCTTAATGCGAAAAATAAAGCTTCACATGCTAACAGAATATATAACACCACAAAGATCTCCTCTTTTGGAGATATAACAAAAGATACACATACCACTCTCAGAAAAACCACTCAAATTAATACACTCTAATTCACATTATACTATGATCATTCCGGCATAAGTATATTTAGCGTATAATTACAGTAGAGAGAGAGAGAGAGAGAGAGAGTATCTTTTGGCAAAGGAAGGCCAGCACATTGTAGAATAGGTGTGCTTTAATTTTCTTTGTTCTTTTTTTATATTATTATTTGTTCTTTTATACTACAAGGTTAGCTTGTCCCCCTTGCTTTCTTTCTAGTACTTGAGAGAAACCAAAGGCAGCCCACCTCCTCTTCTTCAAAAACGCACCCTATTCTTCCCTATTTGCATCGCATTTGTTCTTGAATCTCTCGGTATTCCCAGAGCCCCCAGCTCTGAGAGAGAAAGAAAGAAAGAAAGAGAGAGAGAAAAAAAAGGAAAAAAAAGAGAATAATGTTCCAACACCCACACCAACACCACAAGAAGCCATCAACTATGAATTCTCATGACAGACCCATGTGTGTCCAAGGGGACTCTGGTCTTGTCCTCACCACTGACCCTAAGCCCCGCCTCCGATGGACCGTCGAGCTCCATGAACGTTTTGTTGATGCTGTCACTCAGCTTGGAGGACCAGACAGTACTACTTATAACCTTCACCTTCAATTTCTTGTTTTCATGCATCCAAATTCATTAATTATGTTACATCTGCTCATTTCTTCTCTTATTTTTTCAGAGGCCACACCCAAGACTATCATGAGGGTTATGGGTGTAAAGGGTCTTACACTTTACCACCTCAAGAGCCACCTCCAGGTTTAATTTGCATACACACAATGTTTTTTTTCTTCTTCTTTTTCTTTGCTTAACTTTTACAACATTCCAATTTTCGGTTTGCCTTGACGATATTTCTTTTTCTCTCTTTTCATTAAATTCTTTTGTTTCCCTACCTGAATAGAAATTTAGGCTCGGAAAGCAACCTCACAAGGAATTCAATGATCACTCGCTTAAGGATCATGGTATGGGACGCATGACAATTCTTTCTAGGGTTCTTTACAAACTATAAGCTCTTGAATTTGGACTGCGCCTTCATTCCACAGTTCTTTTTTGAAATATCTGATCTCTGTTTATTAATTTTCATGGCAGCATCTCCACTGGATCTTCAACGAAGTAGTGCATCTTCTTCTGCCATGATTGGCCGCAGTATGAATGAGTATGTATTCGGTCTTTCTTCTTCTTTTTCAAGAAAAAAATGATTTCCAAATCTTTCTTGGAATTTATCCATCCAACCAAGAAGTTGTTTGTGTTTCTTTTTTATCTCTTTTTATCGAAAAAAATTGCCTAAGTATTTCCTTTCATGCTTGGTTGGGGCTGGGGGATTCGAATTTTCTTGTGGAATGCATGTGAAAAACTGCATATAACAGTGTATTAATTGCCACATGGTTGATGCAATTAGGATGCAAATGGAGGTGCAGAGAAGACTGCATGAACAATTGGAGGTAACTAAACACACATGCAAAAAAATTATTAAAGTACCTCTTCTTTAAATGATGATAAAAGAAAGGTTTTATTTATTTATTTCATGTATGATCTTGTGATCTTGATTTTAATTAATATATAACAGGTCCAGAAACACCTGCAGTTGAGAATTGAGGCTCAGGGAAAGTACATGCAAAGCATATTAGAAAAGGCCTGTCAAACCCTTGCTGGTGAGAACAACATGGCAGCTGCAGCGGGAAGCTACAAGGGTAATATTGGAAATCAAGGTGTCAATCCTGCTGACATGGGAGCTCTGAAAGATTTCAACTCTCCTCTCAATTTTCCATCATTTCAAGACCTTAACATATATGGAGGAGACCACCTTGATCTTCAACAGAACTTGGACAGGCCACCTCTTGATCACAGTTTCATGCCAAGCAATGACAATAGCATTTGCTTGGGACCCAAGAAGAGGCCTAGTCCTTATAGTGGTAGTGGCAAGAGCCCTTTGATTTGGTCTGATGATCTCCGGCTTCAAGATTTGGGAACAGCTGCCTCATGTCTTGGACCTCAGGATGATCCCTTCAAATCGTCAGATTCGATTCAGATTGCACCACCGTCCATTGAGAGAGGCTCGGAGATGGATTCCATTTCGGACATCTATGAATCCAAGCCAATGATCCAAGGAGAAGACAAGAAGTTTGACTCGGCAAATAAACTCGAAAGGCCTTCACCACGGCGAACACCACTAGGCTCGGACAGGATGAACCCCATGATCAACACCGGTGTTCGACAAGGAAGAAATTCACCGTTTGGGTGAGCTAAAAAATTAATTGATATTAAGATTTGAAGAATGAGATCGATCTAGGGTTTTGATCATGATCATGAAGTTTTTATTATTATTTTTTTTTGGTCTTGTCAGAGTGGTCACGAAGGTGAGTAGGTCTCATTAGGGTTCTACTAAAGTAAAGTATGATAAAATGCCATGCATGGCAAACCTATAAAGTTACATTGTTAATTTTACCAGTACATTTGTAACTTAGTGTGATATCCTTGTAACTCCTTGATACTTAATTTCCAGATTTCCATGGATGTCATGGAAAATTGATCTAGACATGAATAAAACTATGACTAGCAAGGTGCAATATCCCACAGTGTTGTCTCACTAATATCACTATCTCCTGTTTAATTAGATGATGCAACCTGAAGATGTTCTCTTTCTTTATTAAGATATCTGATTGAGAAAGCAAAGTACATGCAAACAAAATTTAATTTTCCATTATTTAATTGATATATTGTTCCTTACTTGCAAGTTATATAACTTCCTACTTTTCAACTTTGATATATATATATATATATATATATATCATGTCTCCCATAGGAGTAAAACTTTCATGACATGTTTCATATGCCTTTCTATCTCTCACATCACCTGATGAGAGAGATAAAGAGAAATGTCTGTAAAACCTGGGATAGACAAGTTTTTTTTTGTTCATGTAGGTATTAATTTAGACATTTTCATTCAAAATTTAGACATTTTCGTTATAATGTAGGTCATTTAACAGTTGATGGGTGGTTTTCATAAGGGTTAAGAGGTGAGGACATGCACGTCTTGGAGGAATTTTGTTAAGTTTATTCTAGATCATGCAGCGGGAAGCATTCTACTCTCAGTCCTGTCCTGCTGCTTTTTAAGTTAGTTGGTCCAAGTTAGTTATTGCAGACAAAGCCACTGGGATAATTGAAGAAAAATTATATACCCCAATAAAGCAAAAGATCGTATGAGTATGAGCTAGCTAGGAAGGAACACATGCATAGATCACAGTAAAGAAAGCAAAAATTGATTAAAAAATAACTAGGATATGGATCGAGAGATCATCACAAGGGTTTATTTGAGTCGAGCGAGCTCCTTTTTAAAGATGAGAAAGAATTTTCTACAATAGAAGCCGACCAATAGTATCTATCTTTCAATGCTCTTTTTTCACTCTTTACTACTTCACATTCCTTGGGTGTCATACAAGGACGACAACAAGTGTACCTTTCATCTTTTTTCCCTTTGTTTTTTACTCAACAAAGATATATACATGACCTCATCCTCTTATAAAAGATAATTAATGTGTTTAACGCAATAACTAAATAATTAGGTGAGATAATGAAACGACAACAACAAATTAAGACCCAAGTGATGAAATCGTTTGAGGATTTAAGAGACTAATTAGAATTAGATCCATGCAGAGTGAGAGATGGTTTCTCTTTGGTGTAGAAAAAGAAAGTGGTGCCACCATAGCTTTATTGGTTGCAGAGAAAATTTGGCCACTGCAAGTTGGCAGGAAAGCTCCCCCTCTGATCTCCACATAGACACAACTCGAGAGAGAGAGAGAGAGAGAGAGAGAGAGAGAGAGAGAGAGAGAGAGATAGAAAAGATAAAAGCAAGGAAGAATACAACGCACTCCCACGCGTGCAGATTTCGAGGAAGCTTCTATCTTTATGTGGGCAAAGTTAAAGCTAGCTAGGGATACTCCTTATTGCATTAAAAGCTGCTGCTGATGATGATGCATGGCTATATATATGTGTGTATAGCTAGATTGGTTAATTTATTTTTATTTAAAAAATAATAATATTACCACAGTTTGCATGCAATAATGTTATTTGGGTTCTCTTGCTATAGATTTATATGCACAGAATCATGATCAGCATATGATTATGGTAATGATATGGTGTTCAAGGCACATCCTTCCATGCAAATGCAAATCATCTGCAGTACTTTGGATTCTGTTACTTCATTTGACAACTTTGGGTCTAGCAAAGAATTTCCTGCTTCTTACAAAGTATCCTCCAGAAGCTTCTTTTGTCCTCCCCCCTCCCCACACCCTTACTCTCTCTCTCTCTCTCTCTCTCTCTCTCTCTCTCTCTCTCTCGCACAGATATTTTGACCCCTAAAAACTAGCTCATGGAACTGGCTGTCTATGTTTTCACCCCCCACCAAAAGAGAGAGAAATAAAAGAGCAAACAGAAGAAGCCATCAAAATTTCTTCCTTGCTATATATCATCTCGATACTAATATATATACATAAAGTCCCCCATGTGAACCTCCGGATATTATTATCGTGCGGATGCCATTTATTTTCTACTATCTCTCCCTACTTCCCTCCCTGTTATAGTGGCATCCGCACAATAATAACGTACACACATTCAAATGGGAAAATAAAGAGACACCTTAAATATATGTTGTTTTGATGTTAAAGAAAAGGGAACAAGGAGACAAAGAGACACCTTAAATTAAGCTAGTATATAGAGATGTCCACCTACAATCCCTAGTCCCTGATTCAACTTTGATATTAAAGCTATTCATTTGGTTTTTGACACATACATATATGGGACTGGAACAACACTTAAAGAGTAAATAATTGAAAGAACGTAGTACATGTTACGCACTTTATGATGATTAACATCATACATTTCTGATATTACTATGTGATATGATGGTGCCTTTGTTAAATATGTTATTCATGTTTACCTTTCTTTTGCTTAATTTTGTTAAAAACTTTGTTGACATCAAATTTATTCTTACGAACAGAAGCTCCCTTATCATCAAAAGAAAAAAAGAGAGCTCCTTTTTAGCTATTCTGGAAACAAAGCTTCTCAGTTGTATGTATGGGCCTGGGAGAACTTGGACATGGCGGGTTTCATAACTGGGCCAATTTTGAGGGAGTCAAACTCCCTTTTCCACTTTTATTTTCTCAGTTGTTTGTTCAGTTTAAGGTATGGGCCCAAGTGTCTAAAGGTAAGAAACCCCAAGTACAATTTACTCAGGCCAACGCTACAAAATAAGGGTAAACTAGACATGTGCCACCTAAGATGATAAAGAAACAAGGGTTTTTAGGTTTACTAGTCACTAAATTTTGATCTGGTTCGTATTTTGGTCTCTCAATTTTTAAAATTGTTCTGTGGTCCTTTAACTTCACTTTCGTTAGGACAAATGGTCATGCTATCAATTTTGTTATATTTTCTGTTAAATGCATGGGCAAAATGATATTTTTATAATAATTTCATGTCAATCTCCCCAAATTGAAAATTTGGAGAACGCTAAATGATTAATTATTAGTCACATCTCTCACAGTAATCTCTACTTATAAGAGATGTTAGTAACGTGGTACAAATAATTTTATTATAAAAGTTTTGTGAGAAATTGCAGAATACTCCATAAAGACATTTGGACAAAAAAACATTTCCTTTCAAGGTAGCAAATATTCTCTTAAATTCGAACCCATAAGTGATGAATTAGAATACATAACTTTTGTTTCCTACTCACACGACATATCTTTGCATTTCTATCATATGCCAAAAACTGAAATAAAAAAAGGTCATATCCTTCAAGGAAAAAAAAAAGGCATTAGATTAGAATGCAACAACACATCCCTTATTCCACCCCATGCTTGAATTTGTCATTTTAAGCTTGGTCATGACTTCAAAGCCCACTACATATTACATAATACACTTGAAGAAAAAGAAGAAAAACCCAAAATATTACATCATCAACAACGTGTACCCACCACCAATATTTTTTGTAATTAGAAACAAACTAACATCCTAATAATTAAAGCTTTAATCAGTACTTAAGAAGAGTTAATCATGGTGATTGTAGAGTACTGTCCAATATATCCGCAGGAGCAATGAAATAGTCCATGGAAAGCCCTGGTACGTTAAACACAACGTCATCAATGCTCCAAGCTTCCTCCATTCTAGTCCTTGTGTACTCCATGGACACCTCACCGCACCGAAAGACGGTGGCGATCGAACGGCCCTGATGAGCTATGAGCACACCATCCACATCTCTATAGTCTGCAATGCTGCTTCCTATGGTGGTCTCCCAATAGACGGTTTCATTTTCTGGGGTTTCAACTCTAGTGAGGTGTGAGTCCTCTAAGTATATGAGGAGGCCACTCTTTTGGCAAAAATAGCCATACAATGCATGCCTGATCACCTCTGCTGGACCCTCACTTCTCTCCATCACAGCCGCTCGATCGGCGGAAACTTTTAGTACAAAGCAATCATCCTCTCCGATTCTTTTCTCCCCCAAGCATTGTGCCTTGTCAAACAAGCTTGCTGTGCTCTTTGGGTCTAGGCCCTGCAATAAATCATAAGATATAGCTGATCAAGTTTGTGAGTATACATGAAGGTTAAGCTTATGAATGGTGATATTGAATGGTTGATGCACATCCTCACTTTCTTAAATTACTTGTTTTGGAGCAAATTATTAACGACGATGACACAATCACTCACGCACATGTGAACGACAGGTATCCACACATTTTTGCAGGTGTGACACAATTCAATACTATATTAGCTACTATAATTTTGGTGCAAAAAGAAACATCTCTAAAGAAAAAGGAAAAAGAAAAGAATGAAGAAGAAGAAAGAAAGAGAGAGTAAGGAGCCATAATGCACTAGATCCGGCAGCATTCACTAAAGTGCAAAAGAAAAAGTTAAAGCAACCAAATAATACAGAAACACTTTAGTTCAGTATGTGGTAATCCCAAGACCGAGATGTTCATATAATATGACCTTAGATGACGTCAGAACGGCAATCACGTGCCGTTCTTAGGTCCCTTTGGAGCTGTTCAAAAAAAAGAAGTCTGTAGGGTAAAGCACGAGACAGTTTCTCTATCATTGTCAGCCACATACCATTTTATTGGGATTGTGATTTGTTCCTCAATCTCTATCTTTGTTTGGTAAAGCCCAAAAGCTAAGCTATTTGGAATAATTGAATGTTACGGTTCGTTCATGCTCTTTATAGTTCAAATTAAATCATAAAAATAAAAGAATTTTTTAATTCTTGCATGATTATAAATTATTGTGAGAAGAACGTTGTATACCTGTATGAGGCGACGCAAAGGACGTTGAGGACCTTTGGCTGCATGAATACCAAGCCAAGGGGTGTGCCTCCAAACCGTCTTGCCGTCGCTACCGGCCACCACCTTGTTGCCCCCAACCACCAATTCCAAAGACCACATGCCAGGCAACATTTGCCAAAGAACAAAGCACCCACTTTCCCCACTTCTTGTTCCTAGAGTCTTGACATTTCTTCCGGCAGAAACCTCTGTTTCACAACAAACCATCTTCACACTCCCACTTGCATACATGTTTTTGTTGCACTTCTGTTGCTTCAAGCACCCTGTGGCTGCCAAGTACTGCTGTATAATGTAATGCGCTATAGAAGTTTCCTACACAATATTTTTCAAAAGCCCAACATTAATTAACTAATCAAAATATTAGTAACAAAACATGTATATAATCCAATGTGTGAGATAAATAATTGAATTTTCTTACAAATGGGATGTCCTTGATGTGAAGGAGGTGATGATCAATTGGGTCATTGGCTTGGGGAATTGGAGCAAGGGGACAGCCTAACACACCAAGCAACAGCCTTAGGTCTTGCCTTTTGGTAGGAATAGTACCACCACTTCCATATCCTGCGGTAGATAAATTAGTCCCTGGATTAGGAAGCCCACCCTTCTGTGCCCTAAACCATTCACGTATGACTTCCCAAGAGCTCTCCTTCTTGCCTCCTTCTTCTTGCATTTCAGGGTCTGGCCCTTCCATGAGCGGCGTCAATGGCTGTGGACACCATATCTGCTTCTTTCTTGCCTTGGAACCCATAAATCAGTTACTTGGTTTTTGGAAGATGGAAAGAGAGAATGATCAAAATGGGGTTGAGGGTTGTGAGCTTTTTAAGAGAGGAGGAGAGTATAGGAAGGTTGGGAGAGTGAGGAGGATTGGATTGGATTATACTGTATTGTAATGGGATGAGACAAAAGGGACAGCTTATCTGTCCAACGGCAGAGAATGGTAGTAATATAATAAAACCACACTATCGCATGTTGGCCTGTCTATTACTTTATTCTTCTCCCTTTAGGTTTCTCTCTCTTGTCGTTTTATTTCTATACTCATTATTCTCTTGAGCTGCTCAGCCTCTCTTACAACTGAGAGGAAGAGAGAGGGGGCCTATGTGGATTGGTCTAGTCCCTTTTACATGTCTTGAGTGGTAAAAGACCCTAATACCCTTTAAAGGAAACCAAAAAGCATTGTCTCTGATTCTGTTTATTGGCTTGCTCTTGTTGCTAGCAAGTATACAGTCACTATGTGGTATATACTTTGTACTTTTGAAGTATGAACACAATGACAGTTTTAGTTCTTGGGGTAATGTATTAGTTCTGGTGAGACATATCCATGAACATAGAGATAAACGTCTGTTTTTAAACTTTACTTGTCTGACTCAAGATTTATACGTAGAGTCATGAGTCTCCAAAATGACTTGTCATCCATTAATAGGTTACAATCATTTATATAAGCTAATTTTCCTAATCGATATGAGACTCAAAAAAAGTTCACACAATCCGTACAAATTTTGAGTATCATATAAGTCTCATTCACTTGAATTAATGACATACTCATAAAGATTATAGGATGTTGATAATAACTATAGGTAAGTTCAGTAACGAAGTCTGTTTTCGTTTCTAAGAAGACCAATATGACAAATTTACTACTCTTGGGGGCAATAATACAAAACTTTCAATATTTTACCAGTTATTACATGAAATGCTATAGCTTATAAGTTACGACCACTTTAAATCGAAGTACGATTCCGCCGCTCAATAAGTTGCCTTAAAACTTAAATATTATTGGTTTGATAATTGCCTAAGGGAACAAAAAGCATATGAACCACACTTATTTTGTTTCACTTTATATCAAGCATATGAATCACACTCGATGATGGGACAATATTTTCTTGTGAATATTAGTGAATTTTACCCAAGGGTATTATGGTAAAGTGGGTTGAATGACTGCAGGCTCTGCACCCACTTCCATATAGGACAAATCTACCAAATCTTCTTTGCACATAATTAATTAATTAATTACTCTGAGCCTCTGATCAAATTAATCAAAATCAAATCCAAAAACAAGGATCTCAATCTCATCACGCCTTACTTAGCAGTACTTTAGTTTAGTACTCGGTATCTTCCTCTCTTCTTTTGATTCTCGTCCTCGGTCCAAACAAAAAACGCAAAAAACTCACACTTCCCGAAATGGGCCCCACCCCACATAATATAACACAAAATTGTACCATTTTAACCTCGAGCCCAGATGGTCAACGTGGCCGGCTGTGGAGGGTTTGATAATGATAGTGCAAAAAATGGGGCCCACTTGAGCGTGGGGCCGGATGTTGGTCCAAAATCCAATTAGGGTGATGGAGATGAGAGCAAGTGGCAAGTGGCAAGTGGTGGCGATGGTGTAAGGTCGGCATCAAGGGAAATGAATGACCGATTGAGTTGAGGAGGGTGCATGAATGGTGGTGGAGCGGCGGATGGGGATTGGGGGTTTGATGATGTCGATGGGTTTTCAGGTTTGAGTGATCTTTGAAGCCAAGCTCTCTTTGTTCGTATTATATTGAGGTTCAAGTGTGGCTTTCATTGGTTGGGAGAGGCACATAATGCCCACATTGCCTTAGATCCTTCAAGCAATTGTGCACTGACACATGCGGTATGTTTCATTGTCTTTAGACTTTTGGATTTTTATCCACAACATTTCTCTCTCCTTTCTTTATTTTATTTTTAAACATAGAAACTTAATAGGTTGTTGGAAAAATTGCACCACATTGCATTGATTTGGATACATGTTTGGTCCATGAAATGTTAATGGCACTTGGGCTTGGGACTGGGACTGACCAATGGGCATCATCACATTTATGATTTGGATCATAGTGGGCCTACCTCTCTCATTCATTCTTGATTTCTTTATCAATCAATGTCCTTGTGAAGGCAAGCATTTGTTTCAATTTGTTGGTTCATCTCTTAGAGCACTTCCACTCATTTTTCATGGTAAAGGGCAAGGGTATGGGTGGGCATGGTCTGGTTCAGTCCAATTCTCACCTCAAATCGGAACCAGAATCGGTACTATTTAACCGATCTGGATTAAGCAAATTTTTTTAAAAAACTGGCTGGTTCAGTTTTGATCGGTTTCGATTTTGAACCGGATTATTAATTTTTTAATTTTTTTAAAATAAAAATGATAATAAATAAGTTATTTTTTTGGCTTAAAAATTAACAAATGACCTAATTCATACAATGAGAAATTTTTTGAAGTTGAATTTGGAAAAATATTAATTATAAAATTTAAAATATAGAATTGGATTTTAAAATTTTGTAATTAAAAAAAAAATACAACCGGTCTGGTTTGGTGTAAAACTTGAATCGAAACCGGTTAGGTCCAGTTTCGATATGGTTTGTTGACTTTTTTGGTCAACCAATATTTTTTCATCGATTCGGTTCGGTGTTCCGATTTTCCGATCCCGATGCCCACCCCTATGCAAGGGGAGGCAAGGGCTATTACTATTCATGTGAATAGTGGCAGTCCTTACAAAAGGCTTGTGGTGTTTTCACCTATTGCCATGACAGCCACTATTCACATGAGATATGAGGAGAGGAATTTGTATAGAGTTTTAGTGTAGGAAGTGAAAAATATGACTTAGTATTTATTTAAAAAAAATCAGAAATTTTTATTTTTTTTAAAATATTTTAAAGATTTTTTTTTGGTTGCTAACGTCAAACCCATGCTAGAGCAAGGGCTGATTTTGCCTGAGGGCTAGCCCAGGCTTGTGGAGCCCACATCCAGCACGGGCTAAAAAGGCCCGCTAGAATGCCTTTTTCTTCTTGGCCCCCCCCTTGCCCTAGACCTAGCGCACTGCTTGAATCGCTCTTAAGGTAGACCACAAAATTAATCTCTAAGTCTTGTGAGTTTGGGGTCCTGAATCTCTAAGCTTGGGGTTTTAACCTTTAGGTCCTTGGTGTTGAGACTCGAGTTTAGAATTCACGACTCGAGATTTCCAGTTTGAAATTTAAAGTTTGTGGTCCGTGTTTTAGATTTAGATTTATAATTTGAAATTTAAAGTTCATGATCCATGTTTTGGATTTAGGTTTAGGACTTAGAGTTTTTAAATCATTATATGTTTTGGTCAAGAGAGTTTTAAATCATTAAGTTGAAGTAAAATTGTTGGAAAATACCCATTTAAATGCCCCATTCCTTACCTCTTTGGAGTGGGGCATTCATTCTATTATAAGAGGGATGAGATGAGCAATTCTGAACTATATGTGTGAACCAAAGAATAGATTGATTATGCCCATTCTAGTGTTAATTAAATACAATTATGAGCCACATGATAACTTTGGGGAAAACATGACCACCTCCAACTAAGCCATACCTAAGTTCTCCAACTTGCGATTAATGACCATGATTATATATATATATATATATATATATGCAAATTCAAGATAAAATAATTCTTAGAAACTATTAAAAATGAACATGTGGGAATGAGGCTATTGGATGGTATGCACATGTTGAATATATTTTTATACGGTTAAATAACTTAAATTAACATAAAGGACGACGGAAGAAGGAATTGTCTTGAATATACTTTTTCATGTATAGTCAGCAAATTGTCTTGTTTGGAATAGTGCGGCGAAAGGGATTGAACTCGAATAGAGGAAGACAGTACACTACAATAATTACATAGTTCTTGAGGAAATTGTTCTTCATGAACGATTTGTATGATAATGATAATCCAAGGACTAAGGTGATGAGCGCGTAAAAGGAATGTGATTTTCACACTTCCATTTTTGTTTTTCTTTTTACACTCCTCCCCTTGTTTCTTTCCCTTGATCCTCCATAGATTTATTCAATCCTAAGGCTAAAAAAGAAAAGGGAGGAGGGCATGAGAAGAGAGTAGGAGTGATAAACTATGATTGTTCACAATGAAAACTCTTAACTTAATTTCGTTTAGAATGAATTAAACACTGAAGTCTGGTCTAAGACAATGTCTGTGACGACATGTGAATTGCAGTAATGCGAAATTATATTTTCCCGTGCTAAAATGGATTCGAGTTCTTCACAAAAGTTGTTCCTACATATGTGTAGAACAACATATTAAAATTTAGTAGCATTTGGATAAATATAGCTCGCTCGGGTCATCACACATCAAAATAGGTTTGGAGAAGAAGCTAAATGGTATGCTGGCCAGCTTTTGTTAAGTCAATGGAAGTGAATGAGTCAACATGTGAAGGCCTGAGCACTCTCAAAAAATAAATATTAAAGTATGCTTGCTGAAGGAGGAAAACAAGTTTGGCTTGGAAGATATTTTGAATTACCTAAGGAGCTTCACCTAGGGAACAACACCAAAACAACTTTTTTGGTTTTGCTTGCATTTTCAGCAACCCACTCACCAAAATCAATGGCAAGTGGGTACTTTTCATTGGCTGTTGGTCCCAACACTCAACCCACCTCATTTTCTCTATAAATAGAAGGAGAAGTCATCAATCAAACACAAAACTCTCTCAAACAAACTCAATGTCTCAACACTTGAAAACCTCAAAGCTTGAAACTTGATGAATATGAGTTCCACATCAGAAACTTGACAAAATAAAATACAAAATATAATGAATGGTTATACTACTAATATCACCGAGGTCTTTTGTGATAAAACCTCACACCTACTGGGCTTTGTAGGTGATTAAGTTAGGGACAATATCGGTGTTGTTAGTAGTGGGTTGTTGGCTCGTCTTTCTGAATTTAACATGGTATCAGAGCGGGTTGATTGACTGAGCTTGAATTGGGTCTTTACTCTTACCCAATATGTGGTGTTTACATGTTGGGCTTGAATGTTTACCCTTACCCCTCACCCAATACGTGGTGTTCACGTGTAGCCCACTATGTGATGGTCCCACGTGAGGGGGCATGTTGAAGAATATGAGTCCCACATCAGAAACTTGACTAAACAAAATACAAAATATAATGAATGGTTCAACTGCTAATATCACCGAGATCTTTTGTGATAAAACCCCACACCTACTGGGCTTTGTAGGTGGTTAAGGTGGGGACAATAACGGTTTTGTTAATAGTGGGCCGCTGACTCGTCTCTCTGAATTTAACAGAAACAACTTGCCTTTATTTCAAGATAACTAGTTTACAACTCCTGATCGTTATCTTTTTACTTTTATGCTCTGCCAACACTTGATATGATTCCCAGTAGCTAGGCCAAATCCTTTACTTTTTCTATACCAAGTTTGAATAGAGAAATCTTCAGACTATGTTGTTTACTTTTATTCAAATGTTTATATGAATAGAGAAATTTTCATATGAACATTCATCATTTTCAATACTGTCATGTACTTTTTAAGTCTATAGCTACAATGAACTAAGTAGAGAAATCCTGAATTTAGGGTAGCTATATGTCATTTACTTTGAGTTTGCATTGATATTGAACTAAATCGAGAAATCTTCGTTTCCATCTCATTGTTTCTCATTTTCATTTTTGTTATTTTTATTTTATGCTTGTTCTTATCTTCGCACTAGAAAAATATTGAAGTCTTCTTCATTGAGGCATAGAAAAGAACTTATATTGGGCCAGTTCCCCACCCAATTCACAATCGATTGATTAGAATCGATATTGGAGCGCATTTTACATTTTTCAATCACTTTCTATTGGAGCTTTCACTGCCAATAATGGCACGCCTATGCAAACAACACGAAAACAATCTCGCGGCCAACACCAGGCCACTGTGGATGAATTTTCAGAGATAGAACAAACAAAAACTCAACTTAATTTCGTTTAGAATGAACTCCAAGCGTAGATTTATCCTAAGACCATAAACTAACAAAGTAATTTCATTTGACCTATTTATAAAATTATCAAGGACAAATAAATTAAATTAATTCTCCATATGTACAAACATTAATTAATTCATTTGATTTGGAGGAGAAAAGATTCTTCCGAAAATGCCCTTAACGTACTAGGGTGTGATCTCATTGTCTATGAAAAGTGGGCTTCGCACTTGTCACGTATGCAGTTTACACATGAACACAATCAAAAGGATAAAATTGATATCATCGTAAAACTTTAGATAGTAATGTGAAAAAATTGAAAGGTCTTATCAAAAATCACCCCAAAATCTCAGGGTGTATATTTTTAAGCGACTCCATATTAGGGGTTTTGATCGAAATGAGCCTAAATTTATGTATGAGTTTCACATTTTGGTCATTCAACTAATTTTTTCATTTTAATGGTCCTACAACTCTCTATTTAGTGTCAAATTGGTCATACCATCAAAGTTTGTCAATTCTGCAGTTTAATAGAGGGGTAAAATAGTCCATTTGAACTAAAATATTAATTAAGGACTAAGTGTCTCTCTTCTCTGACTTAATATACAGTCATCCCACATGTGATTTTGTTTTTTTATATATAGAATATCCCGCATGTGATTTAGGTCCTGGGTCAAAATAAAAGAGTTTGACAATTAGTTTTGTGACCATTGTCCCTGATCACAAATCTTATCTCGGACCAAATTCCAGAATGATGAATGTGTACCGTGGTCATGACTACATTGATTGCTAGATTACATTCAAAATCTATGTTTTCTCAAATTAATTTTTCAAATTCTTGTACATCCATCAGTTGAGATCACTGATCGATTCATTAATCACTCAAAAGCATATGGGTTTATACTCTTGTCGTGGATGAGTAGAATAAGAAATATACAAATCCCGCATGAGCTGCATTCATGTACTTGATGACAATTAAATCCATGTCCAGTCAAAGATATGAATAGATATGGAGGGCTACGTAGCACATGTGATGGCTCAAACTGAAAGCCTGGATTTGGAAAACCCCATGCTGGCAGTGGCATATATATTGTCGATTGCTTTTACAAAATTAACCATTACGGATACAGTCCACTTTCGCAAATAGAATATCATTCACTACACACTGATAGATAGATACAAATGCATAAGAGTGGTTTTGGGAAATTTTAAGCAAACTGCTAACTAAACAGTTTTTGTTGAAGATATAAGTGGGACATACATTAGTCTCTTTTCCTTCGATGTGATCGAAAATTTACTATTTTTGACGATGTGTTTTGTGTAAATTTGTAGTCGAGATTCACAGCATGTCAACACAAGTAAACTGTACATTAAGCCGTTTATATAAGTGTACCTTACTTGATCATATTCTAGCTTAGCATACTAGCACAAGCAGAATATATTTTACATGGCAGATCCAACTCCACTCTTGCCTCACTCAACCTCCTCCGACCCCATCTCCACTCCCCCAATATCGCTCGACTCAGTCATCGAACGAGTCACAACCAACTCGGCCTGGCCACAGTTGCTCCAAGCCATCCTGGTCTCCATGTCATGGTTCTTTGACGGCCAACAAACCTTCATAACCGTCTACACAGACGCGGAACCAACATGGCACTGCACCGAACATCCCAACACGACATGTCGTTCAACCTCCAACATTTGCGACCTCTCCACCTCCGCATGGGCTTGGGACAGACCATCTTCCACCACCATCATCTCAGACTTCAACCTTCAATGTGCCTCATCCCTAATCTCAGGCCTGCCGGCCTCAGCTTTCTTCTTTGGTTGCTTAATGGGGGGGTTCATTTTGGCAACACTCGCTGACTCATCACTTGGCAGAAGGAACTTGCTCTTCCTCTCGTGCTTCACCATGTGCGTGGCTTCACTCATAACCGCGTTTTCAACAAACGTTTTTGTATATGCCGCGTTGAGATTTATCAGTGGATTTGGGCGTGCTTCTATCGGTGCCTGTGCACTGGTTCTATCCACCGAAATCGTGAGCAGAAAATGGCGTGGTCGAATTGGGATTGCCGGGTTCTTTTGCTTCACATTTGGGTTCTTGTCACTACCAGGTATAGCTTACGTTAATAGATACTCATCATGGAGAACATTATATATGTGGACTTCAGTTCCTGGCATCTTGTATTGTGTGTTAGTCTTTTTGTTTGCGAGTGAGTCTCCCAAATGGCTGTTCACTCGGGGTCGTAAAGATGAGGCCGTGGCTACACTAGGAAGACTTGGACATTGGAATCATAGCAGGTTTGGCAACCTAAGATACTTATACAATAAATATATATTTTTTCTTTCTAACTTTAAGGTTATGTCCATGTTCACAGATTCGCAGTCTCACAATGTAAGTTTGATTATTTTCTGAATGTGCGGTTTAGATTCATGACTACATATGTGCATTCTCATTTTTTCCACAGCTTGAACCTGTACTTATCCAGCATCCCACTCTTGGAGGAATCGGCTGAAGTAGATCTATTCTCGTCGCTGAAGAACTTGTTTGAGAAAAAGTGGGCATTTCGTCGAACACTTGCCCTGATGTCAGTTGGTTTTGGGGTTGGAATGGTTTACTACGGCATGCCATTGGGGGTTGGGAACTTGGGATTCAATATCTACCTTAGTCTGACATTGAATGCAATGTCTGAGATACCTTCCTTCGCTCTCACTTTATTTTTCATAGGAAAATGGAACAGAAAGAGCTCATTGCTAACATTTATGATGATAAGTGGGGTTTGTAGCATAATGTGTGTGGTAGTTAGCTCCAAATGGTTGCAGATAGGGTTGGAAATAGTGTCATTTTTCAGCGCCAACACAGCTTTTTCCATCTTAATGATTTACACGTTGGAGCTATTTCCGACGTGTGTGAGGAACTCAGCCACGTCCATGGTGAGGCAAGGGCTAGTGATTGGGGCCATTTTTAGTCCGGTGTTGATTTCAGCTGGGAGAAATTACAATGAGTTTTTTTCATATGGAGTTTTTGGGGTTGTGATTATTTGTTGTGGGGTGTTTGTGTTTTTGTTGCCGGAAACAAAAGGCGTGGCTCTCTGTGACACCATGGATGAGCAAGAGCGCAAGGAGGTTACAGACCAGATCAATACTAGTGTTTAACATTAAACTCCTAGAGAATTGCTCTGTTTTGTAGGCTATTGATCACCAGTTAAGCGTTGTGTTGAATTAATGTTGATGAGTATCTCTTTATTACAATATGTTTCTCCATGTTCACTCTTTTGTGCTCAGTGGACGACAGATATAAATTGTTTAGAATAATAGTATTAGTCCAGCTTAGACCAATTGAAGCCAATCCAGCATAGTCATTGAAAGTAACAATGTACTAACAAACAGGACAGGCGAACAGATAACTCAGTTTAACAAAAAGTCCATACTTTGTGTCAAGGAAGAATCAAAGACTATCTTGGAAAAACAAGTAGATCTTTGAATTCTAATTTTAAATATATGTGCTAGCAGTATATATCCATGGCTGATCCAAACCCGCTTGTGCCTCCAATATGGAGATACAGAAACTCTGAGAAACAACGCCCTTCAATCAGATGAAATAATTGAGCATGAAACTAGTTTTGGGTGGAAGCACTTCTGCCAAGCCATCCTTGTCTCTTTGAAAGCCTTTGATGGATGGTAAACATTTATCCGTGGCCTCCCGGTACAAATTTCACAGTTTTGGTACAACATTTTGCCTTAAGAAAGGGTTTATCAAGGTTGAAAGGTAAAAAAAACACAGAACATGAGAAAAAATGTACAAAATAAAGCACGCTTAGAATGTTAAGGGTACTAGTAATGGCAACAAATTGAGAAAGACTATTGCTAATTATGGGGATATGACTGAAACAAATGTATCAGATCGATGTCTCATAACTATGTATCCACCCCTAGATCGGTTATGAGGCAACATTTTCCAGAGTGAGACAATTATGGTGTACGGATGTTGTCGTTAACATAGATACATAGTTATGAGACATTGATCTGAGACATTTGTTTCAGACATTGTAGGTCTTAGAGTAGGGGATATACTGGTGCACTTCACTGCTAAATTTAAGATGGTGAAGGCTTCTGTTTTGTGTGGTAAGTATACAAACTTCTGTCAATCAAGTCCAAGAGCCTTCCTTCTTGATGACGTTTATAAGCCTGCATATATGAAAGATAATTAATTAGCATGGATCTACAAGAGGGAAAAACTTACCTAGCTAAAAACTTGTCCTGCACAGGACCGCAATGTAATTCTCAGTACGTATTTCCTTTGTTTATAACACAAATGCCTACATTGGCTTGAAAACCCAAGAACCAGTGAAGAGAAGTTCTGCCACCAATCAGTGTATATCTTAGTGTATAAAACATGTTATTTATCCATCTATTGCAACAGCAGTAATAGTTTTTTAAACACTACTTCGCATACATAACATGTTACTAATCTATCTTTTGTAACTTAAACTTTCACATGTAAATAATATTGTGTTTCCTATCTGTTTTTTCAACTTTTTACATATATTATACGGTTTTAATACCAGCGGCATTGCGCGCGGGCACCTTTGCTAGTGACTATCTGGAAAAGACAAGTACATCTTTGAGTTGTAAACATTTTAAAGTAAGAATACCATGGCTGATGATCCAACCCCGGTTGTGCCTCCATCCAATGTGGAAGATCCAGACACTCATGAGGAACAACCTCCTTCACTCTGCATGATATCAAAGATAATTCGCACGAATTTACCTAGCTAAAAACTTGTCATTCACAGGGTCCAATTTTAATTTTCAGTATTTCATTTGTTCATAACACACATGAACTCGTCCAGGTGTGAGATTTTATCTCAAAATGCATCGATGCAATATTTGCTTCCCCTGTCTAAAAGAAACTCTAGTTTCCTGGTTGGATTTGCTCACCACATATTTAGATAGACTCACTGTGCAAGAGTTGCCTTTTCCTAAACATCTTATGTTCGATGGTGTTCATGTTCCGCTGATTCCTATTTAGTTTTGAACCACCTAAGCACATAAGAAATATGGCAGGCAAAATGGATACTTTGATAGGATTATCGGCATGCCGAAGGTAGTACATGTACTGAACTACAGAGCAAATGCACTGCGAGATGCCGCCAACTAGTCCATAAATGTCAGGAAGAGTACCGAAAAGTGCGTTCCGAGGAGGTGGATAATAAAACCACCAGAGCCTTCCCCATCTCCTTAGCACAACTCTTTCCTTTCTACCATTATAAATTAGCTCCCAGATGGAAATAAGTAAAGCCGCAGTAGCCAACAGCACACCAAATAGTGCATAGTGGGGTTTTGTTGGGGAGGAAGCCTGATCAAAAGCAGCTGACAACATCTCTAGGCCAAGGCTAGTGACTAAAAATATCCACTCTGCTGATTCTGAAGTACCCTAAAGAAGAAACTAGCTAATTATAAATTCAATTCAAAATTAAAGCTACCAATCAAGAAATATGCAATAATTTTTTTTGGCTAGCTTGTCTACCTATGGTTATGAACTTATGATCAAGTTTTGAGTAATCACTACCTTTATGGGCTCGTCATAGACATAGCTGTTGTGCAACCTCATCCTTGAAACTCAACGGCCTGTCAAGATTACTTTGAGACAGAGAAGACTAATACCTCTGTTTGGTTACTGAGAAATCGAAGGAAATTTACAGAGGAAAAGAAAAAAGAAACCTTCCAGGACCGGTCCTTTGATTTTTTTCTTTCTTCAATTATCTGATTTCCATCCCACCTAGATTGAAAACAATAAGAACAAGGTATGGGATTAGTGGAGAAGAGGTTTTAGGAAGGCCAATAATGGAAGAGAGAGAGAGAGAGAGACAGACAGAAAATAGAGGTTGTTGAAAAATCGCAGTGTGGTGGACAAGTTATCTTTCGGCTCCCCAGCTAATCATATGAACTTGGTCTTGTTTATTAATTTTATCACCAAACCATATATACCTTAGTCATCACCAGTACTGAAAGGGATTAAATTGTATTACTCTGTGATGTGGACTGACAACCAATGTTTATTTTATTTTATCACAAGGGACACGATAAGAAACTTAAATATTGAAAGTGAAAGTGGGCAGTTAGTGATTGGCTCATTTCATTCTCGCAAATCACAGTTTGACATAATATGCAAACTATAATCTTAATTTGCAGATAAGTACATATCGCTAATAAGCTTAGATATTTTATAAAGTGCACACCCCCTTTTTTTGGGCTGAAATCACATCTTATTTCTTTCGCAAAAAAACAAAAAAAAAAAAAAAAAAAAAAAAAAAAAAAAAAAGACAAAAAGATAGAAAGAAGAATATTATTATATGTTAGCTAGCAACTATAATTTAAATATCCCATGTGGCTGATCCAACTCCTCTTTCTGCCTCCATCAAACATGGAAGACCAAGAAACTCTAAGAAACAATCTTCTTCACTCCTTGGATAAAATAATTTAGCAGAGTGAATCAAGTTTTGGGTGGAAGCAGTTCTTGCAAGCCATCCTTGTCTCTTTGGCCTCACTCTTTGATGGCCAACAAACATTCATCAGAGTGTCTATACAGATGCTGTGCACAAATTTGAGTGTTCCAATGTGCACTCACAGTCTCACAACGTAAGTTTGATTCTTTTCTGAATGTGTGGTTTAGATTCATTTCTAATTTATTGACAGCTTGAACCTGTACTTATCTTGCATCCTGGCGCTCCTGGAGGAATCGGCTGAAGTGGATATATTCTCATCGTTGAAGAACTTGTTTGAGAAAAATTGGGCATTTCGTCGATCACTGGCGCTGATGGCAGTTGGTTTTGGGGTTGGAATGGTTTACTACGACATGCCTTTTGGGGGTCGGGAACTTTGGATTCAATATGTACCTTAGTCTGACATTCAATGCAATGTCTGAGATACCCTCCTTCGCTCTCACTTTATTTTTCATCGGACAATGGAACGGAAAGAGCTCATTGCTAACATTTATAATGATAAGGGGGGTTTGCAGCATAATGTGTGTGGTGGTTAGCTCCAAATAGAAGGCCTTGCAAATAGGGTCGTTTTTCAGTGCCAACAGAGTGTTTTCCATCTTAATGATTTACACATTGGAGCTAGTTCTGACGTGTGTGAGGAACTCAACCACGTCCATGGTGAGGCAAGGGCTGGTGCTTGGGGGCCATTTTTAGGCCAGTGTTGATTTCAGCTGGGAGGAATTACAGTGAGTTTTTGTCGTATGGAGTTTTCGGGGTTGTGATTATTTGTTGTGGGGTGTTTGTGTTTGCGTTGCCGGAAACAAAAGGCGTGGCTCTCTGTGACAGCATGGATGAGCAAGAGCGCAAGGAGAATGAAGAGCAGATCAATATTAGTGTATGAGATTATACTGCAGCACTGCTAGTGAATTGCTTTGTTTTGTAGGGTATTGATCACCCTAATTAAGCACATATAATCAGCACACTCCACACACACACACACACACACACACACACAAAAAGTTTACGTTGATACGGATGAATGACTAATTGTTTTGTTTAAGATAGCACTAGCCCAGCTTAAACCAATTGAAGCCAAGCCAGTATAGTTCCTAGTTCCTAGCTAATGATATGACATTAAATGGTCCAAATACACCTACATTGTGTTTTCCCTGTCATCTTCTTGTTTACTTTATTTTTTTCTTTGAACTTCTCCTAGAAGCAATGTTTTATTGACAACTATCCATACACCCAATTTTCTATCACTGCCATTTTCAAAACCAAAAACCAAAAATTCTGTGACTAACAATTTTCTCACCAACCCATGCCTTACTCATTCCATCATCAAGGGAAGCTTAGCACATTGCAGACTATGCTGCTACAAATGGATAATTTAAATGAAATCACAGTGCTGAGTTTACACAAGAATAAATTAATTACTAGAACATGACTGTGACATACCGGAAAAGAATCAAAGAGCTGCAATTCATGGCCACACTTTGGGTTGAATGTGGAAATCTTGAAATTTTTTGTTTTGGGTTGAAGGAAATCCGCAAGGGCCACACTTTGGGAGGCAAGTCCATTCCTTTTCCACAGAAGAACAGAAGAAAGCAAAGCTTATAGTCCCATATGACAAATTCTGAGAGCTGCAATTCATCTCTGAAGCCGACGGCGGATATGGACTCAAATTTAGAGACAGCGTAGAAGAAGAGAGTTTTTCGACCAACCAGTTTAAGCTTTGTGATGTCGTGGCTGGCCGGTTTCTCTTCTTTCAGCTCTCTTTTATTTTTTTGGACTCAATCTTCTTCCAGCTCTCTGTAAAGTTGGGATTTATGGAATTTTGAGTGCACTGAGATAAAATTGGGATTGTTAGTGGGTGCACTGAATACATCAATGGTTGCCGTATGGAATTCACCGTTTCCTTGGGTTGGGTTAGCTATACGGGGGTGCCACTACGGCGCTATTCCGACTCAATCACCTCTTTCTATGTGTTACTAACTTCTCGATATAGCGTGATATCCCATGTAAGTTCTTCTCCACAAATGGTGGCCATGGTTAGAATTTTCGGAAAAGTGCCCCATCAAGGACAAATACGTCTTTCCCTCATTTTGTTGTTACATAATCTTTGCCTTTTTGTTAACCCGAGGGACACAGAAAGACTTGAACACTGCCCTCACAACTTGTAAATGTTAAGGCACTTTGCCATCCACATCCCTTGTGACACAAACCCCTCGGGCCTCTTTCTTTGACTAATCCTTAAATTGTATTACTCTGTCATGTGGACCGACAACCAATGTTTGTTTTTTGTTTTTTAATTTATGTCAAGGGACGAGATAAGAAACTTATATATTGAAAGTGAAAGTTCACGGTTAGTGTTTGGCTCATTTCGTTCTTGCAAATGATAGTATGATAAAATACACAAACTAATTTGCAGGTAAGTAGAAATCGCTAACAAGCTTAGATATTTTATATAGTGCACCCCTTATGTCTATGAAAACAAATGACTATATGGAAAAAGACAAGTAGATGTTTTGCCTCCACCCAGCTGTCAAATCTACTACACAGAAATATTCTTATATGTTAGCTAACAACTACAATTTATATATCCCATGGTTGATTCAACCCCACTTCTGTGCCTCCATCAAACATGGAAGACCAAGAAACTCTAAGAAACAATCTCCTTGACTCCTTGGATCAAATAATTGAGCAGAGTCAATCAAGTTTTGGGTGGAAGCAGTTCTTGCAAGCCATCCTTGTCTCTTTGGCTTCACTTTTTGATGGCCAACAAACATTCATCAGTGTCTACACAGATGCTGTGCCTTCATGGCACTGCTCCACTGCCACCACATCATCATCATCATCATCATGCACCACAAGCTCCAGCATCTGTGATCTTCCCAGCTCTGATTGGTCCTGGGATGCAATTTCTTCCCATACAATCATATCTGATTGGGACCTGCAATGTTCAAGCTCTTTCATCAGAGGCATCCCTGCCTCATCTTATTTCTTGGGTGGTGTGGTTGGTGGGTTCCTTCTAGGCACTCTAGCTGACTCTTCACTTGGCCGCAAGAAGCTGCTCTTGATCTCAAGCATCACAATGTCTTTAGCTTCTTTTCTTACCATCTTCTCCCCAAACATTTGGGTTTACTCTGCAGTGAGATTTGTTAGCGGGTTCGGCCGCTCGTCAATCAGTACATGTGTTCTTGTGTTGTTGATGGAAAAAGTTGGAAGAAAATGGAGGCCTAGATTGGGAATTATGCAGTTCTTTTTTTTCACTCTGGGGTTTTTGTCATTGCCATTGATTGCTTATGTTAACAGAGATAACTCATGGAGAGCTCTGTATTTGTGCACTTCAATTCCTGCAATTCTTTACTGCATATTGCTTCAATTCTTTGTAACTGAGTCTCCAAGATGGCTTTATATGCATGGTTTTGTGGAAGAAGCTATAGCAATACTGGAAAAATCTTCAGCACCAAACTACCCAAGTGAGTTGAAATTGTTGTTGGTCTCAACAGGCATGCCATCTGAGGAGGTGGAGGAAACTTCAAAGACTAACAATCACCCATACAAGTCAATGAAGGACTTGTTTGCCAAAAGATGGGCTAGGAAGAGAACACTAACAGTTATGGTACTTGGTTTTGGCATTGGAATGGTTTATTATGGCATGCCATTAGGAGTTGGAAATTTGGGCTTCAATATTTATCTAATTGTCATGTTCAATGCTTTGCTAGAAATACCTTCATATCCAATCACTTGCATCATTTTAGAAAGATGGAGCAGGAAATATTCAGTGCTTGCATTTTGCTTGGTAAGTGGGATATGTGGCATTTTGTGTGCAATTGTTGGAAATGGGCAAAAGGGTATTAGAATTGGGCTGGAATTGGCTTCTTTCTTCTGTTCAAGAACAGCATGGAATTTGATCTCCATGTTTACAGTTGAGTTGTTTCCAACTTGTGTGAGAAATTCTGCTACATCTCTGCTGAGGCAATCTTATGTGCTGAGTGCTGTGTTCAGTTCAATACTGGTTTCTGTAGGGAGCAACAATGGGTTTCTTTCTTATGGAGTTTTTGGGTTGGCTATATTTTTTTCTGGGTTTTTTGTGGCTTGTTTGCCAGACACAAGGGGAGGAACGCTTTGTGACACCATGGAAGAACAAGAAGGCAAAGAGAAGATGATTTTGGGATGAGAGCTCAAATTTTTTTTCTGTCACATGCTTAGTTTATTATCATAATAAAACTAGATCGTTTGTAATGTGTTGGTTGATTTTGTTGCGTTGGCAATTGGCATGTGTTCTGTCTTTTATGGGTTGGATTACTGGTTGAATAAAATTGCATCCCATGCTTCAACAAGATTAATTGTATTACTCTCGTGACATGTTTATTAATTCGTGATGGGAATTAAAATAAGAAGTTGAATTCCAATTACGGATTATTCTTATATTTACTACAAATAGAGGAACGAAACGTAAACGAGGCTCACACAAAATAAGGATATAAACTTTTCACTCTATAACTTACTGGTAAGATATAGGCTTTTCATTCTAAATCCAATTCCACATAGTTTGGTAAACAATTTTAATGGGAAATTGGATTCCAATTCCTCTTCAATTCAATTCCTCATAACCTGATTACGATTCTAATAATCAATTGCAAAGAACTTTCATCCACATGGAGTTGGGGCAAAAGAAAAAAAAACATAGGCCTTAATTTGTTATTGATAAAGTTGCCTACTCGAACGACGTGCCTTACCATTTAGAGTGGAGAATAATTTGCAATTCACCAAAAAATAACTTGGTGTTATCTAATCCATACCGCTAGCTAAGTCAATTATATTGTTCGTTACTAGTCTCAGCCTTCACGTAGTTCAACTTAGCTCACTAAATGATAAAAAATGATTCACCAAATCATTCCAAACTCGAGTAATAATGAAATAAGAGATGTATTTACAAAATTATAAATTGAAACTTTACTCCAATAGGAGAAATTATAGTGACAAAAATAAAAAGAATAACATACATAGTTCTTGTGTATATGTAAAGAGAATTAGAGTGAAAAGGAAATGTGTGATATGTAAAATGAGACGTAATTTGTTGAAAAGTAGGGCAAAAAATACCAAGATGACATGGTCGTTGAGATGAAATGGTTACAAGTGGACGTTTCTTAGTGTTTGCATGGTGCCAATTTCTGTTATCTGCGTGAGTATGGAAGTTGGCAGTCTTCCTATCATCACGCTTATCTCTACCCTCGATTTCCGTCACTCTGAATCTTCCAAATCCTCATCTCCTTCTCTTTCTCAACCTCATTCTCATTAGTTCCCATCCTTATTAAACCACCCCTGTTTTCAACAAGTCTCATCGCCATTTTTCTCTATTGTTATCATTCCTAAAACCCCATTTTCTCTATCCAAAACCACACTTCGCAGCAATGGCGAAAGACCCAGTTCGAGTTCTTGTCACTGGTGCTGCTGGTATGGGCATTCTTTCAAAATTTACTTCCTTTCCAGTATTATTTTCACTGTGTGGCTGGCTTGAATGAAAATGTGGATGAAGAGAAGAGTTTCAAGTTTTTTTTTGTTGTTGTTATGAGATCACTAAAATTCTTCAACAAGCATGGATTTGAGATTGTTATTTTTATTAATTTTTTGTATTCCTTGGTTTAGGAGGAGACCAAACAGAGGGTTTGGTTCTGTTCTTTGGAATAATTTGATATGTTCTGTATTTTTAAGTATCTTGTGGACTTTGTTTTGGCATCTGATTGCCTTGTTCTGGAAGTGCCCTGTAGATTCTTTGTTTCAATCAAGGTACTCTTACACCTATATAAAAACATAGGACTGGATTGTTTTGATTTTGACAGGAATTGTTTGTTGCATCTGTCTGTTTTTGAGAAAATGGAGAATATTGTTCTTTTTCAGAAAATCTTGCTTGTTCTGTTCACTATTGCCTTCTTTTGGAAGCTTATAAAATACATGTGGAGTTTCTTGAGCATGGAGAAGGAGCCTGTGACTGTATTGGTTACTGGTGCTGCAGGCATGCTCAAATCAATCCTTTTATTTCTTCCCCATCCCCACCCTGTTTTTAAAAAAAAATTTAAAAAAATTACAAGTTCATTTTCTTATAACAGTTCCGATGCAAAATTCAGACGCCATGTATTTCTCATTGCCACAAAACCATCTTGGAATATTTCCTGAATTTATAAGCTCATGATATCCAGTTTTATGATGTGAAAATATTGGGCTAAGTATCCAAGTATTTGTCTGTCAAGTTAACAAAATAATGGAAAGGGACAAGCCTTTATGTTAAGTGTCCCATAATGATTAGGACTCATTTTTTGCATTTGAATTACATCTTCCTGTAATTCTGTGGTGAACTTAGATTCTTTGATATGACTTTTTAATTAATGTGTAATGTAATATTGGATTTTGATTATATTCAACAGGGCAAATAGGCTATGCTATTGTTCCAATGATTGCTAGGGGGGCCATGCTTGGCCCTGACCAGCCTGTAATTCTGCACATGCTTGATATTGAACCTGCAGCTGAGTCCTTGAATGGGGTGAAAATGGAATTGATTGACGCTGCTTTTCCTCTTCTCAGAGGTATGCTTGTTAAGCCTGATCTTGGATACTACTTTATGGTAGATTGATATTTCTCCTTTGAAGGATTCTTAGGGTTTACCTTGTTCATGTTTGTAGGTGTTGTTGCTACAACGGATGTCCATGAAGCTTGTAAGGGTGTCAATATTGCTGTTATGGTTGGTGGATTCCCACGGAAGGAAGGTATGGAAAGAAAGGATGTGATGTCGAAAAATGTATCGATTTACAAGGCTCAAGCTTCAGCATTAGAAAAGAATGCTGCTGCAGATGTCAAGGTGAGAGAAGCCATATAAAATGTGCGCACGATGTTTCTTTTTTATTATCTTTTATGTTCATCCCTAATCCTTATGCTGAAAATTTTGAGATATTGTTGCTGTGTTTTTCTTTAAATCGAAATGTTGCTATGCTTAAGTTGATGCAGTTTCATTTCTTCTACCATTCAGGTGCTGGTGGTTGCCAACCCAGCAAACACTAATGCGCTCATCTTGAAAGAATTTGCACCTTCAATCCCAGAGAAAAACATCACATGCCTTACAAGACTGGATCACAACAGGGCATTAGGACAAATCTCTGAGAAGCTAAATGTTCACGTCGGTGATGTGAAGAATGTTATCATCTGGGGCAATCACTCTTCAACACAGTATCCTGATGTCAACCATGCAACTGTCACCACCAGCGGTGGAGAGAAACCTGTCAGAGAACTTGTGGCTAATGATCAATGGTACATCTCAAATTTCTGACCCGTAAAATTTAGTATAAATCTTTAAGTTGTTACTCAAATTCTTCATCCATTTTATCATTCTCTAGGTTGAATACCGAGTTCATCACCACCGTGCAGCAGCGCGGTGCAGCCATTATTAAGGCCAGGAAGCTATCAAGTGCACTGTCTGCTGCAAGTTCTGCTTGTGATCATATACGTGATTGGGTTCTCGGGACTCCTAAGGTTTCTCGTCATCTTTACCAGTATTTTGTTCTTGCAAAATTAATGGTTTTTTTTTCTTTCTTCATATAATTCTATGCAAATTTAATATTTTTCTTTGTTACTTTGAATGTCATTCAGGGTTCATGGGTTTCCATGGGTGTGTATTCTGATGGCTCTTATGGAATCCAGCCAGGCCTCGTATACTCTTTCCCAGTTACATGTGAAAAAGGACAATGGTCAATTGTGCAGGGTAAGTTTGAACTCGGTGCCCATTGTTAACTTCCTTCAGCCATTTAAAACCTGAGCTTTTAACTCAAAATCATGTTTTGGCAACAACAAATTACTGTCATTAAGGATTATGAAACACTTTCAAATCCTAGTAATGGTTCTGGCAAATAAAATTGGATAGTTAAAGTTGGACTATGCCTATTTCAATGCAGGGCTCAAGATTGATGAGTTTTCGAGGGGGAAGCTGGATGCAACTGCAGAAGAGCTCATTGAGGAGAAATCCTTGGCCCATTCATGTCTCAATTGACCATGAAGCTTTTCTTTTCTCATGGAATAATGACAGACAGACTCAATGATCCATCAAATAAAGGAAGAACACATATTGGTTTTCCTCGTAGTTGTAGACAATTTATGTGGTTTGTTATGCAATGTTAATGTTCCTGGGTTTAAATTAGATTGAATGAAATGTATCGTAGTCATCCGTATATGATTTAATTGCTGAGATGCAAGTTCTTGACTTAATCAAGATAGCTAAGGGGTGATTAGTAAGTATAAATTACAGAGATGATCCTTAAATAATAACCTTAAAATGAGGACATCACTGGCTTTCCCCATTATTCTGAAATAGTAAAGAGTTCCCAAGCTGTTTACTTATAGGAAGTACAGCAAAAGAGGATGCAAAATCAAGGAATCAATCAATTACAAAAAATGAAAGAAATCTCAGATTGACATTAGTGTTAAGGTAAATTAATTAGAGAATCAAGGGGAGATTCAAATTCCTTGGTTGTCAAATTGTTTCTACTTTCAAGGGTAGATTCTAACAAACCCCATGGCAATAGCTGCCAAGAATTCTGTTTCTCTCTACAAGCATCCATGTGGACCAAGCACCTGGATGATCCAACATCTCCTCTACCTCCTTCCAATTTATCTGAGCCAGAAAATCTAAGTCCCAACACAAAAAATATCCCATCCCTGAACAAAATGATTGAGCAGAGTCTTGGGGCATTCAACTGGGCACAACTCTCCCAAACCATTGTGGTGTCATTGGCTTGGGTTTGTGATGGGCAACAGTCATTCATAAGTGTCTACACAGATGCCCAACCTGCATGGCATTGCACCACCAATTCCACTACATGCAGCTCTACCTCTTCCGTTTGTGCACTTCCCTGCCCTGATTGGGCATTGGAATGGCCCTGCCTCAAAGACCACCATATCAGAATTGTCCCTTGAATGTGCTAGCTCATTCATTACAGGCCTACCTGCCTCATCTTTCTTCATCGGGTGCCTTATAGGTGGCCTTATCCTAGGCACACTTGCTGATTCATTGCTCGGCCGCAAGAACCTGCTCTTGATCTCATGCCTGATCATGTCTGTTGCCGCACTCATAACCAGCTTCTCCAACAACATTTGGACCTACTCTGCCCTGAGATTTATATCCGCGCATCGATCCCTTGTTTTACTAACAGAAAAGGTAGGTGAACAATGGAGAGGAAGAGTAGGAATCCTCGGATTCTTTTTCTTTACCTGTGGTTTTTGTCCTTGCCACTTATAGCATACATTAATAGATTTTCTACTTGGAGAGTTCTGTATCTTTGGACATCAATTCCAGGCATCTTTTACTGCTCATTGCTTCAATTTTTTGTCACCGGGTCCCCAAGATGGCTCTTCATGCGCAGCAGTGAGGACGAAGAAATTTCAGTACTAAAACAAATTGGATCAGCAGTGGAAGACAAGAGCTTGACCGTGTACTTGCTAAGCTTGGCCCATGAGCAAGAAAACAAAAATCACCCCAAAACTACTACTATATTCTCATCTATGAAGACCCTTTTTGAGAAAACATGGGCATTTAAAAGAAAATTGGCTGTCACACTTGGAACTGGCATTGGATTGGTCTACTATGGCATGCCATTTGGGGTTGGAAACTTAAGATTTAACATCTACCTTAGTGTAATGTTCAATGCCCTATCTGAAATACCTTCATATTTTGTCATATATATGCCATAAGAGCACTTCCAGCAGTGCAACCAGGGGGAGGGGGGGGTTGGTTTGGCCCAAAATCACGTTTCCAGCAACACTAAATGGCCTGGGCAGATGGTGGTACCCAGCAGACTGGGATGGTCCGAGGGCAAGGCTGACGTCACGTCGACGTCAGCCTTGGCGTCCAAATTTTTTTTAACGCGCTAACGTTAAAAAAAATTTGAGCGCACCACTACAGTGCCGCCAACGGCTCTCGTCCACATGTCGCACTCTAGCTCTCCGATCAGATTTTTTCCTCAAATCCAACAATAGAATTTTTATAAAAAATAAAAAAAAAAAAAAAAAAAAAAAAATAAAAAAAAAAAAAAAAAAAAAAAAAAAAAAACAAATAAAATTAATTTTTTTTTTTTTTATAAATACCAACCAATACTCGATATGAATTTTGAAATTTATCTTAAATTTGAAACCGAAAATCTTATCCGATATGAATAGTATTAACACGTAGGAACCCAAAAATTTTATCCAAATTAATTGTTTAGGTAAAAAAAGTTGTAAAAAAATAAAAAAATAAATAGTATTTGCCATAACAAAGGGCAATTGTTGGAAACACACATTGCTTTTTGCACCTTAGCCTCCCCCACCCCCCTGCCATGACAAAGGACAAACTGCTGAAAGTGCTCTAATTGGTATCAAATGATCATGTGCTAGTTTTGGTACTCGGTTGGTTTATGGTTTGAGAGGTTGACTTGTTGGAGAAAGATACATTGGCTATTTACAAATTGAAAAGTCTCCAATTTGTCAAGACAATTAAAAAGGGAAACACCCTGATGGGCATGAATTTTTGGGCCTAATGCTTATGGCTAGAGTGGTTTACCTAGCTGACTTTAGATTGGATTCTTAGTTTTAGGCCTTTCATATTCCAAAACCAGAGCTTTTCTCGGGCCAAGACAACAACTCTGTCACATACTTGCTTATGGTTCCTCTCCACCTCGCCGCTCCACCATCTCAGACTTGCTGCCTTTGCGACTATAAGACGTTGATGCAAACTACATACTTCTTAATTTTATGGGTTAGATACACCAACATTTTTCAAATGACATAAAACCACCTTACATTGCCAACAGAAAAGAATCTTTCCCACCTTGATTGAGCAATCTGCCAACATAATAAGCTACAAAACAAATTAAAGTTGGATATTATGTCAAATCTTCGGTGGGAAAAAATGTAACTTCCAACCTCGCCACCGCTGGCATTATTTGTCGACATTGTAGTCAATTACATCATGAGCAATATTCATCCAAATACCTATGACATGTGAATCATGGCTTTCTCCATATTCTTTTGTTGCAGGTTACTAGTTTCTCCTTGGCGGTTGTGGTCTTGCGTTGGTCGTGATTTTGTCGAACCGTAACCAAATAAGATTGGATTTAGATAAATTCTGTTTACATATGGTTAATTTCAGTTGGTCGGTTGGGGTTTTTATTCTACTATAAATTTCTAATTCTTTACTATGACTTTCTCGGATCAAATTAGTATAAAAGATAAATAAATCAAACTGGATCATCGATTTGATATATGATCTATTCCAACTTGTCAGCTAAAACCCATCCTTAATTAGACAACACTAAAATAATATCAATGCCACATTTTCTGAATAGGTAGCATGTGCTTGTTTCAGTACTGGAGGGAGGCATATAGATTTTTAGATTTGTATTAATTTTATTAATTTTATTAATTAGAAAGAAAGAAATATCAAACCCAAATTCCCTACCTCTACATGCAACACTGAAAAACGCAACTTGAAATTATTTGATAGACGACGAAGTAGTTAAATCAATCTACACATCACCAGCGACCGCATTATACAAGCAGCTGTCTCTTTGTTTGTACTCTTCTTCATCCATTGTATCACAAATCCCTCTGCCTCTCGTCTCTTGCAAACAAACCACAAACAACCCAAAAACCCCAACCACAACCCCAAACACTCCATACGACAAAAACCCGCCATTGACTCTCCCAGCCGCCGCCAGCATTGGACTAAACACTCCTCCCAACACCACCGCCTGCCTCACCATCGACACAGCCGAGTTTCTCACGCAGGTGGGGAAAAGCTCAACCGTAAATATTAGCAAGACATTGAGAGCCGAGCAGGCGCTGAAAAAAGACACAAGCTCGAACACAATTTGTAATGTTGTCCATATTGGATGAGTTCCTTTCAACACGGACATGATGCTAAAAACCCCACTAAGACTGGTGAAAACCAAGAGTGAGGTCTTCCTGTTCATTTTGGCAATGAAGACTAATGTGATTAACGAAGCTGGTAGCTCTGACAAGCCATTGAACGTGACACTTAAGTAGAGATTGAAGTCCAAGCTTCCCAAGGCTAATGGCATTCCATAATATACCATTCCAACACCAAACCCTATTGCCATAACCGCGGACAATCTTCGAAAAGCCCATCTTTTCTTCACCAGAACGTTGATCGCCGAGTAGAGATCAACGTTCCTTGTTTCTTGCTCAAAGGACAAGTTCGAAAAGAAGCTAGAGGTGAGTGGTGTTTTAGTACTAGTACCATTGATGGGTGCAATGTGTTTTAGTGTTGCAATTGCTTCTTCTTTGCGGCCTCGAACGAAGAGCCATCTTGGTGACTCATGAACCAAGAAACGAACCATTATGCAATACAAGAATGTAGGGATGGAAGTACAAAAATAGAGTGTTCTCCATGAATGAGCTCTTTGAGTGTATGCAATAGCGGGTAGGGATAGAAACCCTAGAGTGAAGCAGAAGTATCCAATGACACCTACCTGGCCACGCCACCTCCTCCCGACAAGCTCCGTTGATAGGACAAGAGCAGAGGTGCCGATGGTAGCACGGCCAAATCCAGTGATGAATCGGAGGATGGAGTAGATCCATATGTTGGAGGAGAAGGCAGTGAGAAAGGTGGACAAAGACATGACGAGACATGCGAGGAAGAGCATATTTTTGCGGCCCAGTGACGTGTCAGCTAGTGTGGCTAGGGCAAGCCCGCCTATTAAGCAGCCCATAAAGAAGGCGGAGGCGGGCATGCCCTGGACGAGTGACGGTGCACACTCGAGGGCCCATTCGGAGATGGTGGAAGTGTGTCTTGGCCGGTCCCAAGCCCAAGAATTTTGAGGAAGTTGGCAAACGTTTGAGGCTGAGTTGCATGAGTTGTGAGGATCATTGAGTTGGGTGCAGTGCCATGTTGGCTGAGCGTCTGTGAAGACGGTGATGAAGGTTTGCTGGGCGTCAAAGAACCATGAAAACGATACAAGGAAAGCTTGGAGGAATTGGGCCCATCCGAAATCTCCGATGAACAGTTCGATCCTAGAGTCGAGTGAGGGAGGGTGTTTATGGTGCAACACTTGGGGTTCTGACTCGGCCGAGTTAATTTCGGAGAGAAGAGGGTTTGAATCAGCCATTTATTGATTCAGAGCAAATGCTTAAGATATATACTCGAGTTAGTGAAGCATATGGTGAAGGTTTTTATAGGGCTTTAAGATGAATGCGCATATGATTATTTGGTCACGGGCAGTCAAATTAGTCAGCGTCGATCTATATGTTGCTTTAAGATGAATGCGCATAAAAAAAATAATAAAATATTCATTTGACATCTTGCTTTTGGAATGTCAAAAATAACATCTCAATCTTCAGCCTTCATTCCACATCAGCTTTGAAACATCGGTTGGAGTGATGTGAGATGTTATTTCTAGCTGTTAAATGTCTATGTGGCACTTTTGACACATCGGTTGGATATACTCTAAGATTTGACATATCTCTTCTGGACTTCAAATTCATGTAAGATTTGACTACTTGGTTGGAGCAACTTTAACCTTCAATTTTTTCAATTTCATATCCATATAAAATTTTTGACATATCGGTTAAAGATACTCGTAGTTATTTTGATTTATTGTTTAAATTTCATTATGAAAACCAGTACTATACGACATGCGTGCTAACTTGGGATTTAATCTCTACTTATGTCACCTCCTTATCATAAATGCCCTCTATGCTAAGTAATTAACTATAGGTTATTTGTACACTACGCATGCACCAAAATAAATTAACGATTTCATTGTTCAAATTCATAATTAGTCATAGCTTATCACAAAGAAAAATATACTGCCACCCACCCACGAGTATTGATGTGTAAGGCACATGATCAATTTTGACCGAAATTGAATAGAATTGGTGTCGAGAATGACAGCATTAATGTGCAACAAAAGAAGACGGAGATGACATTGATCAAATTGAAAGAATAAGGAAGAAATTGATATGTTTGAAAAGAGTATATGAACTACTTGTGAAAGAATAGGGAAGTAATTGTATGTTTGAAAACAATATATGAATTAGTTGTGATAAAAAGTCTAGATAGAAGTTGGAAAGATGGCGAAAAATCAAAGAGCCAATAA